CTCTCCTTCTTTCAGGAGGAAGAAGTACCACCTATTTTTCCCACAATACCATTAACCAGTCTGTAGTAAGTGCCTGGCTAAGCAACGATCCTACCAAAGACCGCATGGAAATCACCAACTTAATTCCAAATCAGACTTTGTCTGTGAATAGTTTAGACATTTTAGGACCATGCCTAGTATATGGTACTGATGCAGAGGCTATTTACGTGAACAGACAACTTTTTTCGTGAAATGACTCCAGTATCCTTTTGAAGTACTGATCACCCTGAACTACAGGGAAATGTCAGGTTCATTGTTAATGATACTCATTAGTCTGTTATCAGCATGTGGGGGAGAGGCCTACAGCTTGGTCCTGGTACTGCAGAAGAAATGTAAGGTGCCTCAGATTCTGACAGCTGTCACTCATTCTTGATGCTCCACGATGGGTAAATGAGCGAGCTTGCCTGTAAGCTTGCTTGAGTTTCTTCCCCAATGCCTCTTTGGTTTTGGTAAGCAGGAAGGTAGTCGCTAGGGCAAGGTATTTGCTGTAAATCAATGTCCACAATACGCATGCGCATACAAAGTGAAGAAAAGGTAACCTCCCCTTTTTCTTTTTTTCCACCAGATTAAAGATATCTTTCAAGTATTAATTCTAAGGCCAGATTATGGAATTATTTGAAATTCTTTTTATGCCTTCAGAGATATTATTTTTTTTAATCTGAGATTTTTATATATTTACAGGACATAACTTTTTATGTTGGTTCATGAGAATTGGAAAAGAAAACTGTTAAAGCTGTGAAATGTGAAAGGTTCTGTAAGAATCTTGGCATTTTAACAACATTATTTTGGATTCTTTACAGCTTCATCATGGATGCTGCATGTTAAAACTTGATCATGTGCCGGTAACTCTCAACAGAAAAGTGGTTTTTATAATTAAGAGGTCATAATTGACAAATGTGTTGCCTATGTCTTCAGGTGTGAGAGTAAGACTTTCTAAACTTGAGACATAGTCTTTGTCACAATCAAAATGTCACATCTGGTCTGTTGCAGTCTTTGAAAAGTTAGGTTTTATGATTGGTGTTGTACCTACATGTTGTTGTAGAGGACCTTTTCTCTTTTTAATAAAAAGTTTTGCACAAGAATATCGGTCTGGCTTACTAAATCAGTTTGAATAGATGTAGTCATTTTTGCAGGAAGGTAAATAACCAGAAGTTATTTGGACTGACCTGGGGATGCAATCTGAAGGATGGAGGGAAACCTCAGGATTTGGGCAGCAGCAGATTAAGTTATAAGGTTTTTACATGGCATTTTTCCATCAAAACCCCCTTTAGAGCATACTTTACTTCCCCATCAGTGAGAACAGCCTTCTTGGTCTCTTGTGATAAGAACACCTTACCTGATCTGCACTTCTTGTGTCTGGCTGGAGGACAGGGATGGGGCGCTGGGGCCAGGGCTGTTCTGGAGCGTGTGGAGTGACTAAGGGGCATGTTAAGAGTGTCTGAAATTTTGCTTCCCGGTTTGTTTGAAAGGCAACACTGCCTGCAAAGAAAAACGGGCAAGGTGCATCTCTGACTGATAATTGATGGGTTTTCCTTCCTGGCGACTTAGTCTGTAACGAGTCCTTCCTTCGGGCATTCACCGGAGCACGGAGGCTCGGCTGCACTTTCTTCCCCATGAGAAAATCGGTATTTATCCATCGAGCTCGGTACTCCCATGGAAGAAAAGAGCAGTACCTGGCAGGGGCGGGGAGATCTGGTTTTGGTGGTTCCCCAGGCAGGCTCGCCGAGGCCAGGACGGCGCCGCCGCGCCCCAGGTGGGGAGGTCAGGCCGCCG